GCATGTCAACGGCGGGAAATGAAAATGGAAAAGGTAGACGTACGGGTGGAACTTGGAGATAGAGGAAGCATGAGGCGACCCGTAAGAACCATGCGATGTGTGCTGCCTCCCTTCCTAGTGGATGCGGTTTTCGAAACTCGGAGCAGGCTAGTACGGATATGCCAGTCCATGGCGAACCTCGGGCTATACCAATGCGCTAGGCAAGATTTTTTTCGGTTGTCAGTAAAGATGGGGGCGTTCGAGGGGAACTGGGCAGAGGAGCTGGCCGAGATACTAAACTGCCTTAGCATAGACAATATCTTTGTCCCTAGCGCTGTGCATTGGGAAATAGTCTACAGGAATGTGGCAATAGGGGACACGTTTCTAGATGGGGTAAGGGAGTTGGTATATGGCGAGGAGGAAGACTTCAGTGATGAAGACGAAGATGAAGAGATAGAGGACTGGGACTTCTAAGAGGGGTGGGGTAACTTAACCTAAGAAGGGCGGGTGGCCTGGTGTTGTGCAGAAATAGGGAAAGATGACTAGAGAAGAGAGGATGATGGAATACACCTTCAAAAGGTGGGAACCACGACGACTCAAAGGAGAAATATAAATGCCTATACCAACAGAAAATGAATGGAGGGGGACCACGTGCGGCTGGATTGGGTTTGAGGTTGCCCGAGACTTGTCATATGTATGGATAGAGCGGATTTGGAACCCGATAAGGGAAGAGGAAAGTTGGGATGATATAGCGGAAGGCAAGGTAGAGTCAGTCGGAACGATTGTCCTTTCCGAGGATGGATGACACCTGTTTTGCACCATTTTAGCAATGGGACAGGACCCGATGTGGCTTCCAGGGGACGCAGAGGCCCGAACCCGAAAAAAAGGCAAGCGGTTCACCAACGAGGGATGGAACGAAGTTAGTAGCAGAGTTGTGATGGGAGGATGAAAGGAACTTAAGCCTCCAAGTCTACGGATAACGGCTTGGGTACCAGAGTTCGTAGCCAAGTGGTTTGGGGGGCTTGAGCACATTTTAGAAATAGCCGACTCCATGAGAAAGGTGCATATAGAGTGTGTCTGGCTGACTGAGGAGTTCTATAGGCTCTCATTGAAATATGGGCCCTTCTACGGAGATAAAGTCGAGGAAGTCATCATCGTCCTAAGAATAGGTAGGTATGACCGCCTAGAGGTAGAAGCGGAGTCTTGGGACGCCATAGTTAGCCGGGAGGCGGCGGCTGCACCCTCCTACGTAGACGATGTCTTTAAGCTATTCGAAGTGTTGTGGTTCGACTGAATAAGGCCGAGTGATCGAACACCGCGAAAAGGCTTGAGTATGGAGGGTGTTTGTGAGTTGAGATGTAACATAAGAAAGGGAGTGTGTGCAGTAGATAGTGCGTAAGGATTGAAACAAGGGGGAAGTGGCAGCAACCGGAAAAAGGGGAAGGGGGATAGGATTGTACGCATGTGAGTCGGAGATGCGGCAAGAGCCAGTGTACGATAAGTTGGGGAGCCTGAAAGACTAAAACACGAAAGGCATCGAATCTCCGTGGGTGCAGCAATCGGACCAAGAAAGCAGGAAATGAGACATTGCAAGATGGCCCAGCGAATGACGTTCTGGGAGGATAGACCTCGTGGGATCCTGCCCCCAAAAATATCGGAAGGCCGGGTTGAAATAAGCCTGCCGACAAGAAATGCGGTAAGTAATCCGGTAATGGACTGGGTCGGGGTAGAGTTGGTGGAAGATACGGTGTACCTAGTAGTGAAGCTGGAATGGCGTGCGAAAGGGGAGTTCGGGGGCGTAGACTTGAACCTCCCAGGGCGTGTACATGCGACAGGATCCTTATACCTGTCGGAAGAAGGGTGGCGGACATTTGGGATTGCCTTGGCTTCCGGGGATGACCCCGTGTGAATGTTCGAAGGGGCATGACAAATAACCTGGCGGGAGGAGTTTGAGTTTGCAGACCCGGAACGAGACGATGTAACGGCGGAGGTAAGAGTTGCCACAACAGGGATCTTCGAGCTACCCAATGAGGTCGTACGGATGAGTCTACCGCCCTTTCTGCTAAGGCTAATGGGAGGCATAGAGCGAGTGGAGCAGGCGGTGACTGCCGTAACTAGGCTAAACCTTGAGGAAGCATTAATATATCGAGAATACTATCGGGCCTTCCTAGAGATGGGGCCTTTCGGGGAGGAACAGGAGCGCGAGGTGCTTTGCATTCTACGAGCAGTAGTAAGTACTAGGCCGGGAGTGCCAAAAATAAGTGATGAGGCCATGTGGAGAGTCATCCATCAGGAGGTAGGTCGGGGCGCGACCTACGTAGATGACCTCTACCGGCTGTACGAACTGCCTGAAGGGGCTACTACTCCTGGGAATATGGAGGGATAGTTGGGACTAGAAAAGAGGAATGAAAACACGAAGAACAAGGGGGCCAGTAGGTGGACGGTTTTGGGAGATTGGTTGTAACCCTTTTTATGTGGACTATGCAGGGAATCACCAAGGCAACGATGGCAGCAAGACGTGAGTGAATGGAACGCCAGCCTCGTGTGCGGATGGAACGCCAGCCCCGGTACCCCGGACCGCCTTGGAACAACGGTGGGCGATGGGAAGTATCCCTCCCGTCGAGTTCTACCTATCGGGGATTCGACGTAGAATGGCGGGCCGTGACTTTGGGACGGGACGCCGCCTTCATGTTGGTAGAATATCGGTGGACAGGGATGTGACTCAATTGTGGACCGGGGGACGACCTGTACTCCAATCTCGAAGTTACCGGGACCATGTATCTGCCTGAGACTGGCTGACACTCGTTGGGGGTAGAGATAGCACAAGGTCATAAGCTGGCACCGGTCTTTCGGAGGGCCGCCCGGACGTTGACCCGGATAGGACAATCAGTCAGAGGTAGAAGGAATGTGGGGTTACTTACCCGGGTGGAAATGGGGGGATGGCGGGAATTCAGAGCACCAACCACACCGCTGAGGTGCCGGGTTCCCCGTTTTATGATAGATCTCATCTTCGGGAGCCTTGCAAGGGCGCGGGAGCTGGCAGACTCGACAATAATGTAGGCAGACCACTTTCCCCCTCTGACCATCGGGATGTTCTACGATATCGCTGTGGAACATGGGCCGTTCTGGGGAAACAGGGTCCATGAGTTACTAGAAGTCATCCACATCCTATTGTTTAGGGCGCCATGGCTAGACTGGGCGGGATGTGAACGCATAATCAGGAGGGAAATTGAGATAGGAGAGAGTTATTTAGCAGGGGTGGCTGAATTATTCGAGGAGCCGACCGAACCAGAAGAGCCACGAGGGCGAGAGCGGGACTAGCATCCGCAAGCAGGCCAATAGGGCAGATCGAGTATAGTTCGCTGCGTACGGGAGTTCGCCGATGGGAATAAGAAAAGGGCCTCGGACCCGGATGGGTACACTCCTAACGACTGACCATAACCCTGAAGGTCAAAAATAGGAAACACTGCTCGGGAAGACTTTCCCTAGCAGAATGCCTAACCCGGACTCCCTCGTATCGGCCCGACGGGACAAGGGCACTACAAACAAGCTTGTGACAAAGGAAGCCAAGTCACGCTCATAGCTCGGTTGGGTGGCAGGGCCAGTCATGGCTCCTCCTTAAGGAAGGGTAATCAGGAAACGGGGATAGGAAGAGGGGCTATAAAGATAAGCCAACAAAGCCGGGAGCCTAGGGAATCTAAGTACCTCGCATTGCGTGTCGTCCTGGGAATTCTTTGGCTTATGCAGAACTAGGCAAAAATGGCAACGGAGGAGGAGACAGATAACCGTAAGAGTGAAGGAGAACCAGGCTTAGGAGGCAGTGCCATACAAAGCGAAGGGGGGCAGAAGGACAGAGAATCGATAAATCCGGATGGTACCAAAGGAAACCGGAAGGAAATTTCCACAGGAGAAAGCTCGGGGAAAGCCGGGGGAAGCAGGCAAGGGACTCAGAAGACCAAGGAGGGCAGAAATAAGGATAGGACAAGCCCCCGAAATTCGGAAGGAGCCGTGTCTAAGAAAGTAAGGGTCGCGGATGCGAGGCGCAAACTAGCCGAGATAGAAAAGAGGACCGCGGAATACAAGGCAAGATTGATTGAGGAAATGATGACTGGGAACGAAGAAGGCCCTCTGCAGGAGGAACCCCGGGACGAACGGAGAGTCAGCCGAGGTGGGACTGAACAAGGGGATAAAGGTAGTGACCGTGGGGGAACGTCGAGCAAGAGAAGGAAAGAGAGAGAAAACTCTCCGGGGATGGAAGCAGAAAAGGCTACGACTCCGCCAGCCATGGATAGTAGGGCTAGCCGCCTGCCGACCACGCCAGCGGTAACATGAGGATGCGAAGGACTTTGGAGCCTTAGGGAAAGAGTGTTGGGATGGTTTGACCCAGAAGGGACTATGAAAACCAGGGAAGAACAGAAGGCCGACAAGGAAGGTCCAGATAATAATATGGCAGGCGAGGCGAGCAGCTCCGAGGGCAGCCTTAAGAAGGTAGTGTCGTCCCTCGCGAAAGCACTAACCAAAAATCAAGGCTACCTAGCGGTTGCTAAGAAAAAGTTGACGTTTGATGGGGCAAACGTCACCGAATTCCTGATAGATTATGAGAATTTGGCTGCGTTGTTGAAATGGACCGAAGAAGAGAAGATGGACCACCTGGGGCAGCATGTGTCTTTGAGCCTAGGGCGGAACATAATGGCCATTGTGGCCGCGAGCCGGTCTTGGAAAGAAACTCGGGATGTGATGATGAGAAAGTATCTGGCAACAGAGAAGATTGCAACGGAGGCCGATTTAGCGGCAATCCAGAGGAAGAACTTCGCAATGTACAATGACTTCCTACGGGAGTTTACCTTGGTGGCACTAAGAATCCCCGGGGTTACGGACCGAATAATAAGTACTTCCTCCGACAGTTCTCCGAGTTCGATAAGGACAAGATTTTGTCAGCTTACCAACAGACGAGCAAATTTGTAAACACTAGGGATGTTGATTTCAGTACTGTAACGGATCTAGCCGAAAAGACGGTAGTGACGGAGACATTGGCCTTGCTTAAGGAAGGGGAGGTCATAGATCTGACTGGTAGAATAGGCGACAAGGTGAAAAAGGAGATTGAAAGCCTACATGAGCGGGTGCACGGGGTTAACAATAAAATTGAAAGGATGGAGGGCGCGCTACTGGTTATGCAGGCGCAAGTATCCCGCCCCTCCCTCCCTCCCCAGGAAGTTGTGGTTCCGCCAGGTGTAGCCAACCAGGGATTCGCATGGAGAGATCCTGCTAACGAGCAATGCAAGTACTGCACCGCGATGGGACATTATGTACGTGCATGCCCAAAGCTCAACCATGATATCTTAAAAAGAAGATGCACCAGGTCCTTAAATGGAGAGATATTCGGACCACAGGGAAAGCGGGTGAATTGGAACTCACCAGGGGGAATGCGAAGAGTCGTTATCATGCTCAACGGATTAGAGATAACGACCGTAGAAGCTGAGCCAGTAGTCAATATCGTCTGGGATCAACAGCGGGCCTGCGGGCCGCAGGTCAACTTTATTTTGGAAAGCGATGGACGTGATAGGGTAAACGTGACCACTCGACTAGGAACGGCTGGGAGAAGGATAAACCGTGACGACATTATGGAGGAGGTCGCCGGAAGCTCCGAACTTCAGGCAGAGCCTGAGGCCGAGGAACCTGAGAAAGTCTATGGGAAGCCTAGGGAAGAGGAGCTTGCGGACAAGGTTACCGCCGCTAAGAAGAAGTTTCGGTATCAAATCCCGATCCTAAACTCGTCGGAGATCGATGACACCATTAGCAAGTTGTTAGGAACCATGGTATCGGTATCTTTCCAGACCATGCTGCAAGCTAGTCCTAGGTTGCTCAAAGGGCTTAGACAACTGTTGACTCGGAGGCGAGTAGAAATAGGCGACAATCCCGAATTACCGGAGGGGGAGAAGGAGGAGGAAGCTCCACAAGAAGTGGCTAACCTTCAGAGGAGTCGCGGGGACTTGGAGGATCTCGAAAAAGCCTTTGCAGACATCCGCTTGAGCTTGCCCGACCGAGAGGGCGGCGAAGTCATGAGGTCACCACTCGGGACAAAGCTTAGCTTTCATGCACTACCCGTAGGGAAGCTGAAAGTCCAGATCGGGAGTCATCATACCGACGCATTAGTAGACGGGGGAACAGAAATCACTCTCATAAGAATAGACTTTGCGACAATCACGGGATGTACGGTGAACAAGGAAGTAACAGGGAGCATCCAGGGAGCTGGCGGGAAAATCCAGTTCACTGGTTACGTCACGAAGTGCGCTGTGAAGGCAGGAGTCAGGGAATCAATTTGGTCATTTCAGCGGATGACCGTAATGGAGGAAATGGACCACGACATAATCCTCAGGAGGCCGTGGTGCACGAACGTGGAGATGATAGGCATGCACTTTCACGATGACTCATACATGATAGACATAGAGGATCCCGTGACCGACCAGGGAGAGCTCTTTCGACTCCTTGGAACGGGAGGAGATCCCCCGAAGGGCAAATTGGCAACATGGTCGCCGTCTTTCGAGGATAGTACGCGAAAAGGGGCTTTCGCACGGATGGAGGGTATGAGAGAAAAGGGTAGAAATCATGATTGAGGAAGCATTCAACAAGAAGGAATGGATCAAGATGGGCCTGCTCCAGAAGAAGAGGCGGCAAGAGAACGAAATCCTAGGAGTTATGGTTGCAGAAAAGGAGTCCGAAGTTGAACTTGGTGCTAGCCTGCCCAAGCAAAAGGAAGTACGCATAGACGTGCCAGAAGTCGCACTTGAGATCCCCGATCTTTTACAACTCATCAAGGCCCTCAGATACCACAAGGTAGGGGTGGACTCAGCGGCCTTGGCCAAGTTCGAAGGAGAGGTGCAAAGGGGGTATTGCCTGAATGGGAAACTAGTTAGTATTCAACCACGAGTCGTAGAGGCGTCGAGGGCAATTCAGACCATTCATTTTTTAGGAGAAAGATCCCGGAAGGAAGTGTTCGAAAGTACAAGCCGGTAGGGAAGAAAGCAAAACCGCTCTCGATCCTGCTAGAGACATCAAAGGAAGAGGTTATGGAAAAGGAGGAAGAGGTCTTTTGAGTGATCCAAGAAAGAAGGGCGATAGAGGGACATCGGATACCAGATGAGGTAGCTGACGCAATGAAGATAGGGATAGACGGGTTCCTAACGGAAGAAGAAACCCGCCTGATCAAAAGGACCTGGCAGGAGTTTCATCTGGCCTTTGCCTTTAGTGATCACCAGAAGAAACGATTGGATGCGAAGCTGATCCCTCCGGTCAGAATCCACACAGTAGAACATGAGTGCTGGAATGACAAGGGGTCGTCCTATGAATTTGGGATAGCAGAAGAAGTAACAGACCTCCTTCGAGCAAAGATGGACTCCTTCGTTGCGGAGCCTACGGCGTCACCATACGCAAACCGGTGGTTCGTCTTTCGGAAACCTAACAAGACACTAAGGTGGATTTAGGACCTGCAGAAGTTGAATGCGGTAACTATCCGGGATGCTGGCTCGCTACCTCAGGCTGACTTATTAGCAGAATCGCACGCCGGTCGGAGCATTTACTCCCTGATAGATCTGTACTCGGGGTACGACCAACTTCCGTTGGATGTTCGGGACAGGCTGTACACCGCTATGCACACCCCCGTAGGCCAGCTACATATGCAAGTGACTCCTATGGGATTCACAAACTCGGTGGCCGAAGCGCAACGTAGGATGCTCGCCGTGGCCGGGGACATGTTCCCGAAGAAATGTGAGCCTTACATCGATGACAATCCGATCAAAGGCGCGCAGGAGAAGGACGAGATGGAAGTCCAGCCAGGAATCCGAAGTTTTGTGTGGGACCACCTGCAGGACATCAAGGACTTACTCCGGCGGTTCCTAGTATACAACATTACGGCAATTGGACCAAAGAGTATCCTAGCGGTGCCGGAGGTAACTATACTAGGATTTCGTTGCGGTGCTTACGGCAGGAAACCGGATCCAGCAAAGACCGATAAAATATCACAGTGGCCGACACCACTGCGCACGACGACGGAGGTAAGGGATTCCTAGGCGTAGTTGGACTTTGGAGGATCTTCATTAAGAATTTTGCCAAGATTGCTGAGCCTATCCGGGCTATGATCAGGGAGGAAGGGACCATGGACTGGACGGAGGAACGAGAAGGAGCTGTCCAAAAGCTCAAGGACATATTAACGTCTGAGACAGTCGCCCCGTTCGCGCCCTGTTTTAATGACGAGGTAGGACGACCCTTCATCCTAGAGACGGATGGAGGACCTTTGGCCGTAGGAGGTGTGTTGATTCAAAGGGATGAGGGAGGAAAAGAGAGACCAATTAGGTTTGAAAGTAGAACCTTGAACTCCGCAGAGCGGCGGTACTCTCAGTTCAAGAAGGAGGTTCTAGCCATCTTGCACTGTCTTAAGACTTTTCAGGCCTACCTGTTTGGGAGGCGGTTCATCCTCAGGATCGATCCGACGAATGTTGCAGGGGCCTTAAAGAATTACAGGCCTATAGATCCGACAGTGGGAAAATGGGTAGGATTTATCTAGCAGTTTGATTATAAGATCGAACAGATTGCGGGAATTAGGAACAAGGCTGATGGGCTGAGCCGAGTCTGCATCACTCCCGAAGGGGTGGAGGATGCGGAACCCATAGATGCGTTCCTCGAATACGAAGGAGGAACTCTTGCGGTGGATAACGAAATGATGAGCGAAGAATGCACATCGGGAGAACTATTGATCCAGACTTTGGAGAAGGCGGCGCCTGCCGTAGTAGCAGAACTTAGAGAAGGACCAGTCACCACTCGAGGGCACAAAGAAGAAAAGGACTCGTGGGGAGCGATAGTGGTACCGAAAGAGGAGCTAATAGCAATGGCAGTCGAAGGAGGCCGCGAAGCAGTGATGAGCTTAGTGGAATCTTGGGAAAGGAAAGAGTTACAATGGATGGTAAATCAGATGCAGGAAGAAAATGATGGGGGTAAGGAAGGAGAGGGGTTTTTCTATGTCCAATCATATGAAGGGCTCTTTCGGGAGATCGGGCTGCTGCTGGTCGGAAACAAACAACCTACGAAAGTTAGTATCAAAGCAAGAGAAGAAGCCGAAAGGTACGTCCTAAGGAGCGGGCACTTGTTCCGAAGGGAGGAAGGTGCTATGCCCAAAAGGGTTGTATGCGGAAGATCTAGGCAAGTAGTCGTTATCCAGGCGATGTACGATGGGTTAGCTGGAGGTCATCGATCGTCCAAAGGGAGGCTTGCAAAGATAACGCCACTCTATTATTGGCCAGGCATGGCAGGCATGGTCGCCATATACTGCCAGACTTGCCTTATTTGCCAAGAACGAAGCTCGGTGCGAGTCTTCGAGCCGCTTAGACCAACACGGGTGCTCAGGTCGGGACATCTGGTCCACCTCGACCTTGCGGGCCTGTATCAACGGACGGGTACATGTATATCCTGGATGCGCGAGACAACTTGAGTGGGTTCGTGGAGGCAGTCGCCCTCAAGAAGAAGACAGGGAGGAGTGTGGCAGACTGGATAAAAGATTTCTACTTGAGGCATCCGTTCGTCAGGAGGTTTATAGCAGACAATGGGACGAAATTTGTGAACCAAGAGGTATTGGGGATGCTCAAGAGACTCTGCGTGCCGATCAAACTCGTCGAGCCGTATCACCCTGAGGCCAATGCACCTGTGGAAAGGGGGCACCGAACCTTGAAGAATATGATTGCAAAGCTCGCAGCGGACCATCTGGGGAACTGGCCTAGGTATCTTAAGCAGGCTGTCTTTGCAGAGAATATGACCCCTAAAAGGACAACAGGATGTATCCCGGCAGAGCTTTGGTATGGAAGGGAGATCGACTTTCCTGTGGAAGCCTTGGTACGTACCTGGAATAGGTTAGATGATAATCCGCGAATGACCACTGAAGAATTAATCGAGGCAAGATGTCAACAAATCCTTAAGAATGAGGAGGTCATGGAAGACATCGCCAACCGGGTACTAGACACCAGAATGAGGGACAAAACAAGGTGGGACCAGGTTAAGAATGTCAGAAAGGAGCCACTCCAAGTGGGAGAGATGGTATTGCTAAGGAACTCAGCACTAGAAAGTACTTGGTCGGGACAACTGGGAAAAAGGTTTAAAGGCGCCTACCGGGTCGCCAAGCGGGTGAGACTGAACACCTTCGAACTGGAAGATTTGGATGAAACTGGATTGAAATGGCCCTTTCCTGACCAGCGATTGGTCAGGTTTCTGAGTCGAGACCCGGTGGAACAGTGGCTTCAGGAGGCCGAACATAAGGAAACTGAGGAGCCACAAGCTAAGGACTGACCACAACCTTGGCCAAACTCTTGGTTGTCTCTGACCATGTTCATGGGACTGTCATTTATTTTTATTTTTTTTGGCTTGACTGACTGGGGTTGAGAGGCGGCGTGACTTGGGGGGGTTGCAATATCTGGCCGGTACGACAACGGGAAGGGATGCTGGGGCATTGTACCATAGTTTTTGACCGGAAAAAAATGGGACATTCACAAACGGCGCATTCGCATGTATAATAGGGGCATGGTGCGAAAACTGTTGGGAGCATTCTGGAAAAACGGGGAACTGCCTACCGGACTGGGGAAGTGGGTGCATGAGGGGTTTGTCGGGCGTTGTTTTGTTATATAGGATCTAAAAAGAAAAGAGAAGATGGAATTCGGCAACGAAAACGACAGCGGGGCGGTCAACAGGCCTACCGGAGGGGAGGAAGCAGAACCAAGCCAAGGAAGGAGGGGGCAAAGAGAAAGTTGTACATAGGACTCATGGGTGGGCCAGTGTTAGGCAGGGGTGGAAAGAAATGCTTGTGTAGGAAGCTCTCACCCCTCCGCAAGGGAGAAGGCATTGAAATCTCGTCTGACAGTGAGGGAGAGAAGGAAAGCGCAAATGTGGAAGAATGGGGCAATGCAGAAATGGGAGATGAGATTCAGGTCTCTAATGAGGAAGGGGCCAACAAGGGCAAACGACGTGAGACTTGGCATGGGGAAAGCGAGGGGGGACAAGGTATGCACAATGAACGTGAGGAGGATGAGGAAAAAAGGAAGAGCCCGCTAAAAGGACGAAGTGGTCATGACAGTTGCGAGGGGTATGGGGCAGGGATAGAGACCCCTTTTACCTACGATCCGAAGAACCTTGGTGGTGGGTATAGCCCCATACGGACAGAGGACGAGGAGAAAAATGTGCGAGAAGTCATAAAAATCAGCGACGGGGATGAGAGGGATGAGATCTCAAGGCCTAGGGAAGAGGGGCGGCCTCCGATGCACCCGCCGGGCGACGGGGCTTTCAGATGGGAGGACGAGTTTGGGCCGACACCTAGCCATTGGTTTCAGCAATGGACAAACGTGATCAGACACGAGTGGATTGTCAAGACTCGGGAACTCGCAAGGGCGGGGGTGAAAGCCACACCACTGGATTTTTTTAACGAGGAAGAATTGCGAAAAATTGTGAGGATAAGGAGAGAAATTGAGACCTTCGGCCTGGGGGTTAGACAGCCGGCTGAGGAACAGGGTGGACCAGGAAGCAAGCAAGATGAGGCACAAGACAACAGTAGGCATTAAAAGTTGATTGAGTGTTGGGCAAGAATTCTAGTTTTAATTCTCAATTGCAAAACATTGGAGCAGAATGTGTATAGTATGAGTGAGTTTGCAAAGGATGAGTGATCGAAGGGTCAGCTAAGACTGCGTCGTGACAAGATTAGAAGATAGCATATTGAGGCTACCTTTGGATGAACTACCTTCGAAAGTGGGTACACAAGACAAGGACATGGGGCATGGGATGAGACCAGTTGAGAAGAGAGTATTATGAAATTTGGATGGAATGAGGATTGTGCTTTTGAAGAAAGAAATTGTGCGTACGGATTGACGAGTGAGCAAGGCATTGAATGTTGGTCAAGAGAGGTTAGGGAACCTATGGGTTAAGGGGCGTAAAGAACACTCCTTCCCTAGGAACCTAATCCAACTGAGTCATGAATGAGTCTGAGAAATAGCCTAAACCCGAGTGATCAGAAATAGTGAAAATGGAAGGGGCGCCCCTGTCTTTTGTTATGGATGAACGACCGGGTGGGCTAAGTGCTGCTTGGGGTCGCGAACCCCAACTCGAGTACTAGACGCTGAGTCAGATGTACGCATGGATGATACATTATTGAGAGAAATGGAAAAAGGGAGACAGCACGCAAAACAAAAATGCGATGAGATGGCCACCTTCTAACCTCCGAGACAGAAATGGGATCCGTAACCTCGAGGCCCACCCCCTCGGGCACTAACATTGAGAATGGAAAGGAATGGCCCTAACCAGGCTGTTCGACTTGAGAATGGAAAAAAATGGCCCTAACCAGGTGGTTCGACTTGAGAATGAAAAAGAATGGCCCTGACCAAGTTGTTCGACTTGAGAATGGATAAGAACGACCCTAACCAGGTTGTTCGGGAATGACCCCTAACAAGGGTTATTCCTTTTGAAATAGGCACTGGGGTCCCCTGCATATTGGATTGAGAAAGGTTGATTGAGAAAGGTTGATTGAGAATGTGTTGGAATGAGCGATAAGATGGAAAAGGGCCGGTGGGTCGGTCATTGAAATAGTCAATGGATGGATGGAAGAGAAGGAAAAGGGTCGGTGGGTCGGTCATTGAAATAGCCAATGGTTGGATGGAAGAGACGGAAAAGGGTCGGTGGGTCGGTCATTGAAATAGCCAACAGATGGATGGAAGAGATGGAAAAGGCCAGTGGGTCGGTCATTGAAATAGCCAATGCGAGGAATGGAAGAGATGGAAAAGGTCGGTGGGTCGGTCATTGAAATAGCGAATGAGAGGAATGGAAGAGATGGAAAAGGTCGGTGGATCGGTCGCTGAAATTGCCAAGGGGGCAGAAAAAAGATATGAATGAGAAAGACAGAATAAAAGAGGCGGAACCTTAAAGCCACGAGGGGCAGAGACTGTTGGGACGGTCACAAAGATTGGGTGTTGAGGAATGAGAATTGAGGATTGGATGCGCGGAAGGGTCAGCCTTGAGAAATGACTATTGAGAGAATGACCGCCAGACCGGCCGTGTGGGTGGCCTTGTTGATGAGAGGCTGACGGACCAGTTATGAGAATGAGCCTTGGAAATAGCATTCGATTGAATGCTTGAGGATTGAATATTGCATTGCATAGTCAGGGGACCCTAAGCAACTTGAAATGGACTTGGAAATAGCCTTGAAATGAATTTTTCTCTTTTTCTAGTCTTTGGCCTCAGCAGGAGGGGGATACCGGTGCTTGCACCGCGACCCCAAGACCTCTATCCCTGTAAGGGAAAAAGTCTCAGCGCGACCTGTTCCTCTTGTAAAAGGATGAGGGTTAAAGGACCAAGGCACCTACCGCTTGGATCGGTGCGGGACGTCCGGAACTGACCCCGACAATGAGCTCTAGTCGGGAAGTTCAAGTTGCGCCTCGTGTTGAACGCCTAAACGTCAAAGGGTGAGAGAACCAAATGGGCGAGAGAGCCATTTTTGTTTTCTAGTCTCTTTTGTTCTCCCCAACTACACGCCATGCCGTTGAGGGGCGGCATGGCCGCTTGGAATGGACCACGGCGCTCGCGTTAAGTTGAGCAGCATTGTCCAGAGGGAGGAGTTGGGCGTGGTACCGGGTGGAAGCCACGACCACCACGGGGCATTGACACCGCCCCGCCGGAGCATTACAACCGCTTCGGGACTAATTACGAGGTCTTCGCAACTGCACTCGTGGACTAATTGAGAGCCCCAACTCTCTTGAAAGGAAGAGGCCGGATCTAGAAAATTACCACTCGGGAGGAACGATGCGCGAGGAATGCTAGTACGGCTAGACGAGGCCCTGAAAGGCTTGGATTGGACTTGCCTACCAGACGTGAGGAGGAACCTCAGTATTGGTGCTCGCCACGTAAGAGAAGAAAGGTCGGACCGAGTAGAAGGATGAGGCGTCGTCCGCTGGGGAGGAACTGATCACTCTTCCTTTTGTTAAGCGGATGGGCTTGTGTCCTTGGCTTGCGGTTGGTGGACCAAAGGTCTCGTGCCTCCGAGTGAGGACCAGTCGTGCGATGGGGACATCGCGTTTTGAGTGGGGGGAAGGTGTGCCATCTACCGAAGAAAAAGCGTGCAAAAGAGAAGGATACCATGAGCATAAGGATGAATAAGTAATTGACTTTGCGCAGGCTTGAGAAGAGGCCTGGCAAGATGTCCAGAAGAGAAGAATGGATGAGTAATTGACTTTGCGCAGGCTTGAGAAAAGGCCTGGCAAAATGTCCAGAAGAGAAACGGGTGATAAATTGACGTTGCATGACCTTGAGAAAAGGTCTGGCAAACGACTTGTGTGATTGATTTGGCATGAGCCTCAAAATGGGCCGAGCAAGACATCTGAAAAAAAAAAGACTTGTATGATGGACTATGTATAGATCTGAGAGAAAGACTAGCAGGCTGGAAAACAGATGAGTATTTGGTTTGCATGAGTCTGAGAAAAATGTCTGACAAGGTGTCCGAAAGAGAAATGCACAAGGGATGAACTGGGCAGCATGCATGAAAAAGTTAAAAATAAGCAAGGAACAAGAAAGGACAAAAGAGTGATATGAATGCGAAATTGGCAGGACCTGAGGAAAGTCGGGGGAAAGGACCTGGGGGAGATGCATGAGGATTTGGCAATGCCTGAACGTCGGAAAACGGGAAAGGGAAAATATGGATTGCACGGGCCGAAAAGTAGATAATTTTTAATGACACTTAGAATATTGAATGAGACAAATCCAAAATGTTTCTCAATGAAATGGGAAGACAAATTTGAGATTACGAAGCACTTAGGGGGAGTTGTGCTTGGACTCACTGATTCGAAGTGGGTATCACCACAGCAAAGGCGGCGGTTGTACTCGACGAACATCTCTTCCGGAGCAAATGCCTGACGTTGAGTTTCATCCGAAAACTTGCCTACAATTTGTTATCAACAAAACCGAGGCATAAAATGAGAAAACCAATTTTGTTATGACAACAAATTGTCACCCTGGGAGTAAAGCCAGCATGCCAGAAGTTAAGTGCATAAAGCAAGGAGAGCTTCGTCTGCTTCATGTTACTGAAGTTGAAAGAATTATGGGCTGCCCTGCTGAGTATACAGAATTGACTGAAGAGGAAGTTTGCACCTCAATTGATGGAAAGAAAGAGAGGCAGAGCTATGACAGAAATGAGCAACCTGGTCTAAGTTGTAGAACCTTCGACTCCCCCATACCCTCCTCCACCCCAGGGGGTGGAAGCTAAGGAAAAGATTGAGAAAGGAATGGGAAAAGAACGGGACGGACCCTGACAAACTAACTATCCATAACACCTCAACTCCCTCTCTCATCTATTCCCTCAAAAACTCACTGACAAGAGATTGGTGC